ATAATCAGAAAGACCATGACCTGAAATTGACATTACTTCTCAAAAATAATCTGATAACGCTCAGTTCTAGTATATGGCAAAGGATATTCTAGTATATTTTCAAAAGAATATAAAAAAAATCAATGTTTTGAAGAATACCTTGAACATATGCCTTAAGAAACTTTAAAAAGTCCATAGTATTACATTTAGCAAATTGAGCTTATTAATTTATCTGAAAGAGATAATCATAAATGCAGATAAAAATTTTATATATGAGGTTATCAGTTGAACATTATTTGTAATTAACTGAAAATTAAGAACTAACTCAAAGTTCTACAACATAGAAATTATGGAGTAAGTTACGTCAACTCTATCAAAATAAAATTTAATAACATTTAATGGTAAGTTTTAGAGTTTAAAATATAAATATTCTAAGAAGAAAGTGTATGTGAGTATTTGACCGCAAGTCTGTCATTACGGCTTAGTCCTATAAATATACACTATCTGGGATTGAAAAGTAAATTATCTTTTATTAAATAATCTATTTTTATAATATCTATTTGTACATTTAATATCTAATAATTTAAAAATATATTGTAATTATATCCTCACCATATGCTCTAACATAATAAGCAATTTAAATACACCTGCTCCTCTCTTGAAAAGCCCAATGGCCTAATGGTTAAGGACTTGACTATCTCAAAGATTGGATGTTCAAATTTTCCACCTGCTCTGAAGGAGAAAGCAGCAGCAGTCTGATTTCACAAAGATTTACAGTATTTTAAATACTATGGGACAGTTCAACCAGTCCCAAACTTGTGAAAAATCAGAACTGATTTCATGGCAATGAGTTTGATTTTGGTTTGGACTCCTCACTTATTATTAATGTTGTCCAACAGTTTGTTGTTGGTATATTGTTATGTGCCATGGAGTTGCCTGAAACCCACAGCAACTCTACATACAACAGCTCTGAAGCTTTCCCTGTCCTGAGCCAGTCTCATTGATTCTGATACACCTACCCCCAGTGGATATGGCTCCATCTCATCTGGGGCCGTCCTCTCCTGTGCTGTCCCTCTATCCTTCTAAGCACGATATCCTTCTCCTGGTCATATGCCAATGTGAGATGGAGCTTAAAAATCCTAGCATCAAAGGGGAAACTTGGTTTCACCACCTCCAAGAAAGACTTATTTGTTTTCTTAGTGGTCCATGGTATGTTCTCCAGCACTACAACTCAAAGGCATTCATTCTTCTTCTGACATCTATTGTCATAGTCCAGCTTTCTGATGCATAGCAAGTAATCGAGAAGACCATGGCCTAGATCAGGCACACTTTAGTCTCTAGACTAATATCTCTGCTTCTCAGTACTCTGGAGAGGTCCCTGACCACATATTCTCCCAATATAATTTGTCTTTTGATTTCTTGACTGCTAGGACAAAGAGTGTTGATTATGGAGCTGAGCAAGTTGAAATTGCTAACTCCTTCAATCTCTTCTCCATCTACTATATGGTGCCGTCAATCGACCCAGTGGTTATAATCTTTGTCTTCTTGATGTTGAGCTTCAATCTATATTGAAGACTGTAGTCCTTGGCCTTCTACAGCAAGTGCTTCAGTTCTCCTTAATTTCAGCAAGCAAGGTTGTGTCATCTGCATAATGCAGGTTGTTGATGAGTCTTCCTCCAATCCTGATGCTATAGTCCTCCTCATAAAGTCTATCACTCCTGAATGATCTTATCTGCATATATATTTGAAAGGTATAGAGACAGGATACATCCCTGATGCACTCCTTTCCTGATTTTGAACTGTGCAGTGTTTCCTTGCTCTGTTCTGAGGACAGCTTTCTTATCTGAGTATAGGTTTTACATGAACATAATCTATTCTGGGATTCTCATTCTCCTCAAAATTAGTCACAATTTGCTGTGGTTAATACAGTCAAATGCCTTTGCATAGTCAATGAAACATAGATAGACATTCCTCTGGTACTCTTTGCTTTCTGCCAATATCTATCTGACATAGTTAATAATGTCTCTAGTGCCACAACCTCTTCTAAATCCAGCTTGTATTTCTGGTAGTTCTCTGTCAATGTACTGTTCCAGTCATTTTTGGATAATCGCCAGCAGGATTTTGTTTGCATGTTATATTAGTGATATTGTTTGATAATTTCCATACTCTAATTGGGTCACCTTTTTTGGAATGTGAATAAATATGAATCTCTTCCAGTCAGTTTGCCAGGTAGTTGTCCTCCAGATTTCTATCTAAACCAACAGTTTACATTAATGAAAACAGTAAAAGCATTTACTATTTTTTTTTTTGCATTGCCAACATACATCTGGCAGTCACAAATGCAAACGTATGAGGTAACTGTAACCCTGGATATTATGGTTATTTTTCAATTTAACTGGACCTTAATTCTCAGGGTTTGGTGGTTATGTAATTGTGAAATTTGGCAATTTTGTAATGATGTAATAATGACCTTCTCTTTTGTAATGTGATGTGGTGATCCTTTAATTCTGTAAAATACCAATGTTTATATTATAACTTTGTCTTTGAAGTCCAAGTATATTGAAATATGAGAAGTGAGTGTAATGACAGGAATAAATTTGGTGTCTGTACAATCTTTTTTTTCACATTAAAATTAGTAATTCTCTTACCTGAATTTGGTTTAACATAATTCTTGAAATAAAATCTCTTACTAGATCCATTAAAGCCTTCAAACAAGCCATATTAAATTTTGCAGCCTCCCCAAGGACCAACAAAGCCAGAGCTGAATCCAACCTGAAAATTTTACAAACAAAATAACAATGACATTAGGGAAAATAAGAATTTATTTTTAAAAGGAAAACACAAGTTATAGGTCAGAGCAAATAAATGTCCTGGATTACCAGTTATATTTCTTTGCAATTAAGATCAAGGAGCTGGTTGACATTAATAATGATTAACCTCTGCAAGGAAGGACCATGTATTGGCAAAATATTCTAATTTAGAGTAGTAGTATCTTGACAAATATTTTAGAGTAACAAATGATATAAATAATAATATTTATGCATAGATCCTAATGGCAAGCAAATGTTCTTGTTCTATAGAATACCTCCCAAAACTTCACCAGCAGTATTGACTTAACTTTTACAATTTATTCCAAATGATGAGTCTCAAAACAAAGAGAAAAAAGTGTTCTTTTAAAGTGTTAGAAAAACCTCATCACTTCATTTTTGAAACAGTGAAGTTTCTAAAAATAAAATTAATCATTCCCATTGAATGAAAACTGCCAAGATTGATTATTCATGGTATTCTTTCAAAGTCACACATATATACAATATTCAGATATCTAAAAAATATACATTTAATTCTATTCTTAGTCAACTGAGAAAGATATGATTATTAAAAAAAACTGATAATAATGGAAGTTTAAAAATACTCTGCCTTCTGTGCTTTTCTGCCATGATTTATAGGTTATAAACAAATTAAAGATTTATTATATTTTATTTGTATAACTGCTATTTTAGGATAGAAGCCAACTAATTTTCACTGTCAATCAATTCTTTCTAGTACAGTGACACTGTGTATTCCTTCCATCTTCTTTTGATGCTTTCTGGGTTATTCATTATATTGTCCATAGAATCTTCAATACTGTAACAAGAGGCTTAAATTTGGTTTTCAGTTCTTTCAGCCTGATACATGCAGTGCAAATTCTTCCCTTTTTATTCTCCAATTCCTGCTGTCTGCATATTCCATTATAATACTTTGCTTTGTTCGCCTGAACTACCCTTTGAAATAGTCTGTTCAGCTCTTTCACTTAGACATGTTTTTCTTTAGATTTGGCTTCTCAACGCTCCAGTGCAATATTTAGTCTCTTCTGACATCCATTTCGATGTTTTCTTTCTCCTGTTTTTGTAATGACCTATTGATTTCTTTGTGTATGATATCCTTGATATCATCTGGTCTTGTATATTTGTGTTTAATGCCTCGAATCTATTATTAAGATGATCATGAATTCAGATGGAATTGATTCAAGATCGTATCTTGGTTTCTGTGGAGTTATTTTAATTTTCTTTGGTCTCAATTTGAACTTGCATATGAGTAACTGATGATCTGACCCACAGTCTGCCCCTGGCCTAGTTTTGACTGCTGATATTGAGCTACTCCAATGATTTTTTCCACAAATATAGTCAATCTCATTTCTATGCAGCCCATCAGATGATATCCCTGTGTAAAGTATTCTATTTTATCTTTTAGAAAAAGTGCTTGCAATGAATAAATCATTGTAAATACAAAATTCAGTCATTCTATTTCCAGCTTCATTTCTATCCCCAAGACCGTATTTTCCAATTACTGTTCCTTCTTCTCTGAGGAACTGGAAGCTGAAGGCATTGGCCAAAAATACAGCCCTAGGAATCAATGAGATACTAATTGACTTGTTTCAATTAACATATGAAGCCTTTGATACACTCACCAGTCTTTGCCAGGAAATCTTGAGGATGTCTGTCTGGGCAACAGATAGGAAGAGTTTTACATTTTTCTTCCTATTCCCAAGAAGGGTTATCTAACTGAATGTGGAAATTATTGCACAATATCATTGATATCATATGCAAGCAAAATACTGCTGAAGATCATTCAAAAAATGGCTGGAACAGTACATAGATAGGGAAGTGCCAGAAGTTCAAATAGGATTTAGAAGAGGCCATGGCACCAGGGATGCACTGCTGATGTCAGATGGATCCTGGCTGAAAATAAGGAACACCAGAAAATTATCTGTCAGTTTGAGGAATAATGTGTGTCTTATTCAGGCCATGGTCTTTCTGATTAATAGCTATGCATCTGAGACCTGGACAATGAATAAGGATGACAGAAAAAGAATTTATGCTTTTGAGTTGTCGTGTTAGAGAGGAGTACTAAACTGAACATCCCATGGATGACCTAAAGAACAAACAGATATGTCTTAGAGAGGGTGCAACTGGGGTGATCTTTGGAGGAAAGAATGATGAGGCTTTGCCTCACATGCTTTGGGCATGTTGCTAGGAGGTGCTATTTTTTTGAGAGGGACATGATGATGGGAAGGGTGAAGGGTCAGCAAAAAAGAGGAAGACCCTCAAACAGGGGAATTGACACTGACTACTGCAATGGGTTCTGGTGTGTCAGGAAGTATGAGGATGGCACAGGACAGAACTGGGTACAAGTCTTTTGTTCATCAGGTTACTATGAGTCATGCTCGACTCTAAGGCATCTAACAACAAAATAAGTCAATTAAATTATCATTTAAAAATCTTTTCGGTCCTGGTAAAAATAAAGATGATGTTGTTGTTGTTATGTGCCGTCGAGTCGCTTGCGACTCATAGCGACCCTATGTACAACACCCCTAAACTCTGCTCTGTCCTGTGCCAATTTCACTGTCTCTAACACACCCATCTTGATTATCCCAGTCACTGAATCAATCCACCTCATAGAGGGCCTTCCCCTCCTGCGCTGTCCCTCCACCCTACCAAGCATGATGTCCCTCTCCAAGGACAGGTCCCTCCTTACAACATGTCCAAAGTACGTTAGACGGAGCCTCAGAATCCTTGCCTCCAGGGAGCTGCCAGGTTTAACCCTTTCCAGAATGAATCTGTTTGTTTTCCTACCAGTCCATGGTACCCTCAATACTCTTCTCCAGCACCACAGCTCAAAGGCATTGATTCTCCTTCTATGCTCCTTAGTCACTGTCCAACTGTCTGACGCATGACAAGTGATAGCAAAGACCATGGCCTATATCAGACGCACCTTAGTCCCCAGTTCCTTTTCACAATTTTCCTTTTCCAAACTATAAGTAGATCTATATTTAGCATCCATATGCCTAGTGCCTGTTTAATAACATTTTATTCTTCTTAGCAAACTTCTATTGTCCAGAATGTGGAATTTTAATGTCATCTCCTCAAGATGGACATATGCCATGTAGTGACTGGAGTAATGACTCCATGGTATATATATTTGCCAAAGGTCATATGTACATAAAAGGAGCTAATTTTACTGTATATAAATTATATCTCAATAAATTTCATTTTCTAAAAATAATCCTCCAATTTAGTTGGAGGCTGAAGTAACCATATAATGTAAGTTATTCAATATTAGTGGAAACATGTTATGAAAGGCAACATTATTTTTCTAATTAAGAAAAAAATATTAGTGCCACCTCTCATCTGCTCATTTTCTTCCACAGTTTGAAATGTATACTATTCCTTCAAAATGAAATTGTACAAAGTTGTTGATTTTTTTCCTTCTATATAACACTAAAATAAAAGAAGATAGATTTCCTTCTAAAATGAGCAATGAGGCATTTCACAGAGTACTCATCACTCATCCTTCACAATAAGGTCAAGTACAGGAGAGGATGGGCTTATATATCATAAAATTTCTTCTGCCCTGAATATAATTCATGGTCATAAGGTTTTGGTTTTCCTATTCTACTGCAAGTTTGAAAAAATTGTACCTAACCTAGGGCACCCTCACTGAAATATGGATTGAAAAAGATACATCAATGTCAACGACTTATGATAAAAGAATGTTATTGCCAAAACCACTCTTTTTAATCAATGCTACTGTTGACAACATTTTCTATAAGCAAAAAAAAAAAGTGGTTTATTTAAAAAATCGGAACAGAAATTATGGTGTCAAAAATTTATTATTCAAATGCTCTCCTGGACAGTAAAACTTTATTTTGTGATGAAGTATTTATTGTATCAAGAAGATCAGATTAGAGTGAGATACAAGGCCCACCCTACTGTTGCTGTTGTATGACATTGAGTTGACTATGACTCAAAGAGACCCTGTGATCAGTAGCTTTGAATCCTGCCCTATCCTAAGCCAGTCTTACTGTCTGACACACTTAGCCCTTTACTCCAGTCATTTTGTCAATCCATCACATCCAGGGTCTTCTCCTGTGCTGACCCTCAACCCTTCCAAACATGATGTCCTTCTCCAAGAAATGGTCTCTCTGGGCCACATTGCCCAAAGTATGTGAGACAGAGTTTCAATGTCCTTGCCTCTAAGGAGAAACTTGGTTTCACCTTTTCCAGGACAGATCTGTTTGCTTGGTATGTTCAGTACTCTTTTGTCCATGGTATGTTCAATACTCTTTTCCAGCATCACAACTCAAGGCACTGATTCTTCCTTTATCATCCTTAGTCATTTTCCAGTTTTCTCATGCATATCAAAGAATTGAGAAGATACCATTATTTTTCAGCACTCTGGAGAGGTCCCTAACTGCAGACTTTTCCAACACAACTCATCTTTTGCTTTCCTGACTGCTGGTGCCATGAGTGTCAAATGTGGATCTAAGTATGATGAAATAGTTAACAATCTCAATCCCTTCTCCATCTAATGAATTTTTTTTTCTTAATGTGAAGATGCTATCTACATTGAAGACGGCAGTGCTTGACCATATGCAGCAGATTCTTCAGGTCGTCTGTAGTTTTGGCAGGCAAAGTTCTGTCATCTGAATCGTACACAAGTTGCTGATGAGTCTTTCTTCAGTCTTGATGCCACCATACTGTTGTTAAGTGCCATGAAGTCAAGCACAACTCATAGCAACACTATGAGCAAAAGACCTGAACCCTGTTCTATAACTTGTCATTTCTCTAATCATAGAGTAATTGTTCAGAAGCATGTTGTTTAGGAAGTGAATACCACTCATGCTTCCAAGTCTGTCTTAATCTGGGAGCTCCACCAAACACTGTCCACCATGGGTCACCATTATTGCACTTGACACACCAGTGGCACAGCGTTCAGCACCACAGAAACCCCAA